TTTCTATCTTAAGACAAAAAAAAAAAAGTAATAGGGAAGAAAATGATGAGAGAGGTTTTTTGTTTGTTTGTTTGGTTTGAGATTTGTTTCAAAGATCCAGCAGAGCTGTTGCTCTGTGGTGAGATAATGGTCCTTGTTTCCATACACATTTCAGTGTATTTTAACTCTTCCAGTTTTTAGATTTCAAATGACGTGCATACAGCAGGGAAGACTGGTGATTAAGAAAGTATCCACAAAGTCACCAGGAGTATTTGGCCAAATACAACGCTGTGGTGTCTCCTGCCTTTCATACTGTGTGTTACAGGATGTTTTACCTGCTTGTATTTGCAGTTGTAAGACCATGAGCATATAACTGAAAACAGACCTTTTTTTATTATGGAATGATGTTTTTTAAAAAAATGGCTTTTTATATGAATAAACATTATAACCAAACTTTATTGGCCTGTTTTTGTCCCCTTTCTGTATGTATGGGGGGTGGGGGCATTTTTTACATTCGTAATTTCTTCTCAATGGATTTCTTTACAGTGGACTGTTAGATAAGTGCAGTCTTTTGATTTTATATATATATATTAATCGGAGTAACAGAAAAGTAAATTTTTTTGCTTCAGTAATGCTGTATTAAAGTGTTCTTTAAAAAGGAGCTTACACCATGGATTAATTGAGAAAAATATGTGTTAGGCTAAATGTGAGCTGTCTAAAGGACAATATAACCAGAATCGAACAGAATAACATACACATCCTGCAGTTCTGATCCTACAGGTTTAGTGCACTACAGAATGCATCAGCAATTTCTTATCACATGAAATGGTGGTGGTTATGCCCCTCAGATCTCTTTTTACTTGGAAATCTTGAGGGTGGGAGAGTTCCTGGTACTGATGGGGTGGCCAAGGATCCAAGTGCAGAAAAGGCATCAGCAGCACCTCTCATCTGAGCCTCTCATTTTAAATCAAGTCTGCTGCTCTGTCTCCCGCCTCCCTCGGCACAAGCCCAGCTGGTAGAGTCTTGGCATTGCAGTGAAAAAGAGTTACAAGAAACGTGTGAAAGAAAATGCTTTTTCCACGTAACTTTTAAATAGTCCTTAGAGGCTTACTAGGATTTTCACTGTTTGTAGCTCTACTTATGTTGTGAAAAGATTCTTTGTTTAGTGACTATTCAGAATTTTATTTGGGCATTCGTACACCATTGATTATATCAAACCTTTGTTAATTATATAACATATAATTATGGCAAATTAGGTTTAAACTTAAACCTCAGAAAAGGCATCAGCAGCACCTCTCATTTGAGCCTCTCATTTTAAATCAACTCTGCTGCTCTGTCTCCCGCCTCCCTCTGCACAAGCCCAGCTAGTAGAGTCTTGGCATGGCAGTGAAAAAGAGTTACAAGAAACGTGTGAAAGAAAATGCTTTTTCCACGTAACTTTTAAATAGTCCTTAGAGGCTTACTAGGATTTTCACTGTTTGTAGCTCTACTTATGTTGTGAAAAGATTCTTTGTTTAGTGACTATTCAGAATTTTATTTGGGCATTCGTACACCATTGATTATATCAAACCATATCAATCCTTTGTTAATATAATTATGGCAAATTAGGTTTAAACTGGAACCTAACATAACTTACGCTTTATGCACAGTAATCACATTCCTATAAAATAGATCCCATTTTGTTGTACTTAAAGGAACTTTTAGCTCTTCTTTTTGGAACTACGTTGAGTAAACTTTAAAGTATGTAGCTATTCCATTTTATTGGTCACTTCAAAGCTTGTATTCCCTCTTTGAAAGATCCTCCTTACCAGTATTGAGCCACAGTGACATTTCCATTGGCTTAGATTGATGAAAATCCCTGTAGTAGCAGATTTAAACTTGGCTATAGAAAGAAAAAATCATGGGTGTATCTATAAATGCTGGGCCTGTTATTATATCCCTGTTATTAATTTTCTTTGCAATCTTAAAAAAAAAAGCTGCAAAATGATAACACTTGTTCTAAGGTTTTGAACATGCTTCATATTGTGACCTCTCTTGTTTCTGGACACTTACCATAAATATCCTGTTGAGTATAGTAGAGGAATTATTAAAAACATGCAAACACCTGTCTGAAATTCTAGTCTCAGGTAAATCAGACTCTTGCGACAATGCTGTAGTCAAAATCCAGCAGAAGTTTTGCAACAACATTTATGTGATTTTAGATCACACTATGTAATTAAATAGATTATTCTGTCTATACTACAGAATTCTCTAGAGCTATTCAAAAAATAGACATTAATATCCTTTCTCTAGATTGCTTATGCTTTTAGGGTTTTTTTTTTAGACACTCTTGTAAGTTTTCTTTCTGATTTTCTTCTGAAGGTTTTTTTTCCACTGAGGTTTGTCTCATTAAGATTATTACATTTGTGTTGAAATCACTTTGTCAGAGCTTCAGTGCAACTTCACGCTGCGATTCAAATTATATATGGGTGTAACATTTTGTGAGAGTGATTTTTTTTAATGGAAATTAATTGTTGAAGTAATTCTCAAATTAAGGCTCCTCTATTCAAACCATGCCTTCTGGCTGAGATGCAAGAAGGGTCCTGAGCAGCTCCCACTGGGGCAGTGGCGGGCACATGCAAGGTGGAAATGCTGTACAGGGGAGATGTGAGCACAGGTTTTTTGGAGGTTATAGTTTTGCACACGGGAGTGCTTCAGGTGTGTCCTTATGGGCATGGCACGGAGCCATCTAATTTGGCAACGATGCACTGAGGGGCAATTGCTGCAATGAACCCAGGAGGGGACAAGCTAGCAATAGATGTCACACCCCAAGCTGTTGTTTCAATTACCGTGACTCACAGCTCACAAAATCCCTTTGGTTTAATACAAATATGTGCTGCTGTAATAGTGTAAGAGTACCATTAATTAGGATGATGTTACACTACTAGTATAGGCAGAAAAAAAAGATGTCGTTTAAAGAACTGGCAAAGAAGAGTGAGAGGAGGAAGAAAAAATGTTTAAACATATAGGAACAGCTTATGAAAAAAGGAAATAGTCATGGGCTGTCTGCCCTACTTATCCCTTGTTCTAGGAAAAGGGCACATGACTGTCTTTAATGCACAGTGTTTCCCTTAGCTCTCGTTCTGCCGCAGGCTTCGGAAGTGCAATTTGCCGTGTCCCAGTTCTGTCACTCACCGCGCTGGGAGCTGTTGGCTCTGTCATTCCCGGCTGCGGGTCGGTCTCTGCGAAGCTCCCACAGCCGCAGTACTGAGCAGTTATCGCTCTGCGGCACGAGGTTTCCTCGCTCCTTGGCATTGCAGTCATGCTTCCTGCCTGAGCAATTTAATTACCTGGAAAAAAAAAATGTGAAGGGAAAAAAGGGGCAGGAGAACCCCCGGGCGGTTATTACAGAAGGAGGAAAATCTTTGCTTCTCCAGAGTCCCTCCAGTAATAATTGCAAATTGCAATTGTCCCTTCAGTAATAGCACCGAAACATCCAGATGTCTTGTCTTCTCTCTCATTTCCTTGAAAAGCCCGGCTGGAGTAGGTCAAAGTGCCTGCGCTTTGGTGCCACAACCCCGGCTCGATCCAGTGGCACAAGTGACTCCAGATGTTCCTTTTATGCTTCCTATGCCTCCCTTCTGAACCTGTGAAATGGAGATAATGTTCCCGTTATCATCTACCACAAACACAGCTTGCCTCTGTCCTACCCTCCTGTCTTTTACTGGGGGCTTATACAGGGCGTTGTATAATGTGTTCCCCACCACAGAAGTAATAATTCTCTAAAACTATTTTATTGCTGGTAGTCTGTCCTCGTTTTAATTCTAGGTTATTAAAAAAAGGTATAGAGAAAAATTATGGTAGGACCATGGTATATTTTCTTAGAATCAGGGGTGTGATTTGGCCAGTAAATTTGGATTTGGGAGAATAACAGGCTATACTGGGGGGGTGAACTCCAGCAAACTGTCATTGCTGGAATGTGAGTAGGTTATTTTGTCATTAGAAAGGTGTCACTTGATCTTTCTGGACATTACATGATCCCACCTGCACTCATTTCTCGGCTTTTTTTTTTTCCTCCTCTCATGAGCTGTTGTGGATAGAGGACATGAACCTTCAGAGTCATTCCTATAAGGAACCATAATGTTGAGGAAATGTTTAGTTATTATTGCAAATGTACCAGCAAAAAGGATAGAGATGAATGGAAATGTCACTCCTGTGACCCTAAAAACGCAGTTAGAAATGAAGATCAGAACTTCCTGATTTTAGTATTTTTTTAATAATCAAAATACACATGTTAATCACCAAAATGCACATTTTAATCATCAAAATAGGCAACGCCCTGTATCTCTGTTCCAAATTGCTTCAGTTTGTACCCGAGCGCAATAACCCAATGAAGCACATTATTCCCTGCATACCTTTGCATCCTGACTGTGGTCTTGCAGGATTTCCTTGTCTTTATTAGTGTTTTATTCCTCCCAACGGTGCTGGAAAGGCGGTGAGGTTGGGAAGGAAGGAGAGGAGGGCTTGGTGGCTCCGACTGGGCTGCATGCGGAGCCAAGGGAGGGCGGCAGTGGCTCTCATCGAGGGCAGAGCAGCCCAGGCCGGGCAGGAGGGCACCGCGCCAGGGAGGGCGACCAAAGACCCCCAGGGCTTACCTGCCTCTAAGCTGGGCCATGTGGTGCTTAAGCACCCTTGGTTATCCACGCTGGAAAAGCCGAACCAGTGCATCTGTACATCCAAGCATATTCCTGAGAGGAAAATGAAACCCTCCCGCTACTCTTCCTATGTTGCTCTAAGGAAGTCACCTCCTAACTGCATTTGAATCATAGAATCATAGAATCATAGAATCATAGAAT